CTGGGATTGAGGATTGGTTTAGGGTTTAGGGTTTAGGGTTTAGGGTTTAGGGTTTAGGATTTAGGGTTTCGGGTTGAGGGTTGAGGGTTGAGGGTTGAGGGTTGAGGGTTTAGGGTTTAGGGTTTAGGGCTTGCGGGGGTGGGCAGGGCGCATGAGATCATAGTTCGACAAGAGGGGTACTGAGAAGGCGGAGACTCTTGTAGCCCTCGTGCGTGGTGCAAGGGTTTCGGGTTTAGGCGTCCCTAAACCCTAAACCCCAAACCCTAAACCCTAAACCATAAACCCTAAACCATCAGGTTTGACATACCCTACACCCGACGCCCGAAGCCGACGCCACTACGAAGCGCGCCTTCACCTCGACATCGCCATGGAGGCCATCGTTGTCGATGACTTCCGCACCTGTAGCTGTCACTCTTGGCGTTTTGGATGTAGGGTTTAGGGGTTGAGGGTTTAGGGTTTAGGGTTTAGGGTTTAGGGTTTCGGTTTTCGGGTTTCGGGTTTCGGGTTTAGGCTTCGGTTTAGGGGTTTTGGGCTTTCGGGCTTTAGGGCTTTAGGGCTTTAGGGCTTTAGGGCTTTCGGGCTTTAGGGCTTTAGGGTTAACCCTAGCATTTAGGGTTTAGATTCCAATTGGGCTTGGTTTCTTTCGTTGCCGAGCTCTGCTTCCTGGCTTCAACGGGGCAGGGGGCGGGGGGTGGGGGGGGTGTGGCGGGGGGGTGGGTGGCTGGGGGGGGGTGGGGGGGCGTGGGCGGGGGGGTGGGGAGCCGCATTTTTAATGGATTTTTTTTGGATCCCTTATTATATACACCCCAGGGTTTAGGGTTTAGGATTTAGGGTTTAGGGTTTAGGGTTGAGGGTTGAGGGTTTAGGGTTTAGGGGTTCGGGTCTCCCCTAAAGCGCCAGATCCCTGAAGCCCGAAACCCTGAACCTCCTTTTCGTCATTCAGAGCAACTGTAGCGGGGCAACCAGGATTTGGGGGTTGAAGGGCCTAAGGGCTTAGACTCTAAGTTTAGACTTTTCTTTGTGAAGGGCGTAACGGTTGAGGGTTTACGTGCTTGGCGGGCTTGAAAGTTTCAGGGTCTAGGCTTGCTGTCAAGGAACTCTGCACCACTATACTAGTATACTCTTATACTATTATACCATTATACTAGTATACTCTTATACTATTATACTAGTATACTCTTATACTATTATATAGACTATTCCACGATTCTACGATTGTACTCCTGATGTGCTTGTCTTGCGGTGGAACCGTCAGTGGGCAGGCAGCCAAACTTCTGGAATAGCCCCTAAACCCCCCCCCCCCCCCCCAAAAAAAAAAAAACTAAACCGTAAAACCCCAAGCCCTAAACCCGAAAAACTAAGCCCCAAGCCCTAAACCTTAAATCCTGAACCCCAAACCCTCACACCCTAAACCCTAAAAACTAAGCCCCAAGCCCTAAACCTTAAACCCTAAACCCTAAACCCTAAACCTTAAATCCTGAACCCCAAACCCTCGCACCCTAAACCCTGTAGGCCCTCGACTTCGCTTTTCGGGATTGTAGGGTTTAGGGTTTAGGGCTTAGGGCTTAGGGTTTAGGGTTTAGGGTTTAGGGTTTAGGGTTTAGGGTTTAGGGCTTGGGGTTTGGGGTTTAGGGTTTAGGGTTTCGGGTTTAAGGTTTGGGGCTTGGGTGGTTTAGCCCCTTAGCCCTGGACCCTAAACCCTAAACCCTAAACCCTAAACCCGAAACCCTAAACCCTAAACCCGAAACCCTAAACCCTAAACCCTAAACCCTTGAAGGGATTATACAGGGCCTTCATTCCCGCAATTCCCTACTAAGCACCAGCCAGTTTCGGCCAGGGGGCCGTTGATGTAGAGCTTGCTGCCGTCGTCCGAGGTCCTGAGGCAACCGTCGGAAGATGGATGGGCCTAGGGTTTAGGGTTTAGGGTTTGGGGTTTGGGGTTTTGGGTTTCGGGTTTGGGGTTTGGGGTTTGAGGGTTTAGGGTATGGGGTTTGGGGTTTAGGGTTTAGTTTAGGGTCTAGGGTTTAAGCTTTGGGCTTGTTCTGTTGAAGGCTTTCGAGTTTATAGGGCTTGGGGTGCAGTGAGGGTTTAGAGGATTTGGGGTCTCGCATAAAACATACACACCCAAAAAACAGGCCGTCAGCCACGATGGCAATCTCCTACCCCAAAACGCCTAAACCCTGAACCCTGTCAACCCTAAACCCTGAACCCTCTCAACCCTTAAAACCCTGAACCCTCTCAACCCCAAACCCTAAACCCTGAACCCTCTCAACCCTGAATCCTAAACCCTAAACCCTAGCCCCTCCCAACCCCAAAGCCTAAGCCCTCAAGCCGTGAGTATGGCTCTTAGGGTAGCTACATGGCCCCTCAGTATAGACCGTCATATACCCTAAACCCTAAACCCTAAACCCTAAACCCTAAAATACAACTTAAGGCCCATACATCACACCCCGTTAACTGACTGAGAAAAAAGCATCTCTCCCAGGGTTTAGGATGTTCAGGGTCTAGGGTCTAGGGTCTAGGGTCTAGGGTTTAGGGTTTAGGGTTTAGGGTTTAGGGTTTAGGGTTTAGGGTTTAGGGTTTAGGGTTTAGGGTTTAGGGTTTAGGGTTTAGGGTTTAGGGTACCTCTTCAGACCCCACATGACACTCTACGTAAAAACCGAATTGTCACCATATTGGGGCATTTTCAGGGGCTTGGAGGCGGTGATAAGCACAGTTGCAGTGGGTTATATGTACCATGGACCTCCATGTAAAACCCTACCCCCCAAACCCTGAACTCTAATCCCTAAACACAATTATTGGAGAACTTCGGGGAAACCCTAAACCCTAAACCCTCAACCCTAACATCAATTGTGAGAACTTGGGGGTAACCTAAACCCTAAACCGAGAACTTCGGGGTAACCCTAAACCCTAAACCCTACACCCCATCGCCCACCCAAGGTTCAGGGAGAACTCGTACGAGCCGGCCGTCGCAATTTTCCTCGCCGCCGGCTGTGGCGCTTCAGGCTTCGGCCCCTTGAGCCCTGAGGGTTTAGGGTTTAGGGTTTTTCTCGTAAACCAAAAGCCCTTAAAACCAAAACACTGAAACCCGATTTCTCGCGCCCCTTCGGCAAATATTGAATCGTGCGATTTGGGACACGCCGGACGATTCACAGAACTTTCGGGAATGAGAACAAGAGGACGCGTACGATCCTAAACGCCATGCGAAAAGGGTTTAAGAGCTTAGGGCTTAGCACGTTTCGAGTCTCCAACCCCAAGCCCTGAATCCCGCTAATACTACAAGTCTTTTTCACACTTGCTAGCCAAGTAGCCATATTACAGCAAGGCCTCTGGAATGTTGAAAGAAACTTTCTCTTAAGCCCATCGGGCTCAGGGTTCAGGGATTACGGAAATGGGTTCGCGTACAGGGTTTAGGGTTTAGGGTTTAGGGTTCAGGGTTTCGGGTTTAGGGTTTAGGGTTTAGGGTTTAGGGTTAAGGTTTAGGGTCTAGCGTTTAGGGTTTAGGCTTAGGGTGCAGGTGTTCGGGTTAATGTCTACTTTGGACCCCCAATGGTCGCCAAGTGGCAGCTTGCCAGTCCACCGCACCGCGAAGTCGTCACCTCGTTGCACATCAGGGTTGAAGGTTTCAAGGGTTTAGGGGGTTTAGGGGGTTTAGGGGGTTTAGGGGGTTTAGGGGGTTTAGGGGGTTTAGGGGGTTTAGGGAGTTTAGGGTTTAGAGTCTAGGGTTTAGGGGGTTGGGGCTTGGGTGTTTAACCCGAAGCCCTAACACCCCATGTACAGGCGCTCATGTGGGCCGGCTTCAACCTGCCCCGGAAACCCGAAGCCCATACACCACCCCCCACAACCACCACCCAAAAACAAGCAAAGACGCTAAACCCCAACCCCCCAAACCTCAACACCCAACGCCCTAGAGGACTTTAAAAAAAGCTGTGAAAACCCCAAGTCCCTCAACCCAAAATGCTCCCAAACCCACAAACTGCTAGAGCCGCAAAATAAGCCCCAAACCCCTAAACCCCCAAACCCCGAAAGGACGACGCGCTTTAAGCCCCTTAACCCCTATAAAACCGCATGACCCCCTCAGAAACCCTAAATGCCCAGATACACCCCAAGACCG